GGTTGCAACGCTAAATTTTATGTTCATTTTGCCAATTACTACTGCAAAACTCACATAATAATTATTGTCTGTGTTTAAACAAATCAGAATAAGTATTTATAAAAAAGATTAATTTTGAAAAAAAAGTTGTATTCCCATTTTTACTTAATGAACCCTCCTTCCCGCAAACAAACAAATCATAACACAGGCGACAAAAAACAAATTAAGAATAATAATTTATTGCCTATTTGCCTATTTTATGCATTTGGAAAGGTTGTGTCCTAGCAAGCATTGACTTTCAAACAAATGTATTTTTTTTCTATTTTGAACTTTGTTGTCAGTGCATTCGCTTTAAATAAAATGTAGAAAGACAACTCTGTTGAATGATCCTGGAATAAGAGACCAAAAAGCGAGATTAAAATCAAATTGAAGAAACTGGACGTATCTACCCCCCCCTTTTCAAGTTTAGTGCCCTATAGTAAGACCCATGGGTGCTGCGGCTACGGTTTAGCCGTAACGGGAAAGGTAGCCGGCCAAGCGTTGTAATTAACCTGTAATTGGAAGTTCCTAAAATAGCTTAGTTTAGGGTGAAACGCATCAACCCCTAAGTTATTCCTGGGTGCTGCAGCTAAGGCTTAGCCGTACCCGGATAGGTAGCTGTAGATAAGCGTTGTAATTAACCTGTAATCGGAAGTTCCTAAAATATTGTTAGTTCTAAGCTGTAAACAATTCCTACATGCGAGATCATATATCTTATATTCACTTTCTTTTTATGCCAACTCTCATTTTATTGGCTCTCTCCCATAGTATAATCCTATTTCCTACAGGGTGCCATAAATATCTGTTTATTGTGGAGCTTGGATCAGTTTTTTTATATTTAGTTCGACTCTCCGCCAGCTGTAGATTGAACTATAGAGGATTAAATATTAATGGAAAGTTTGATCTACAAATGGATTCGATAAAAAGGATATTTATCCATCTAACTCATCTATCTATATATCTATTTATCTATCTAACTCATCTATCTATATATCTATCTATCTGTCCATCTATCTCATATCTTGAAACGTTTGACTGTCCGTTAGAACTTTGTTAGTTTTTCGGTATTTTCTATTATTTTTCTATTCAATGGTTAGAACGTTTAATTATAAACTTGAATAAATGATTCAAAACAATTCATTATTTTGAAAATTATTATTGAAATTCAAATACATCTTTTTATTAAAATAATGATTTTTGTTGCCATCAATATTGTTTAATATCATTATTATTTTTTTAATGTTATTATTATCATTATTATTATTATTATTATTATTATTATTATTATTATTATTATTATTATTATTATTATTATTATTATTATTATTATTATTATTATTATTATTATTATTATTATTATTATTATTATTATTATTATTATTATTATTATTATTATTATTATTATTATTATTATTATTATTATTATTATTATTATTATTATTATTATTATTATTATTATTATTATTATTATTATTATTATTATTATTATTATTATTATTATTATTATTATTATTATTATTATTATTATTATTATTATTATTATTATTATTATTATTATTATTATTATTATTATTATTATTATTATTATTATTATTATTATTATTATTATTATTATTATTATTATTATTATTATTATTATTATTATTATTATTATTATTATTATTATTATTATTATTATTATTATTATTATTATTATTATTATTATTATTATTATTATTATTATTATTATTATTATTATTATTATTATTATTATTATTATTATTATTATTATTATTATTATTATTATTATTATTATTATTATTATTATTATTATTATTATTATTATTATTATTATTATTATTATTATTATTATTATTATTATTATTATTATTATTATTATTATTATTATTATTATTATTATTATTATTATTATTATTATTATTATTATTATTATTATTATTATTATTATTATTATTATTATTATTATTATTATTATTATTATTATTATTATTATTATTATTATTATTATTATTATTATTATTATTATTATTATTATTATTATTATTATTATTATTATTATTATTATTATTATTATTATTATTATTATTATTATTATTATTATTATTATTATTATTATTATTATTATTATTATTATTATTATTATTATTATTATTATTATTATTATTATTATTATTATTATTATTATTATTATTATNATTCTCCACCAGTTATTTTCACAAATCCCTATATCTTTGCAACCAAATATCAAAGACCTTCCATATTTGAAACTATGAATTCGGATAGATTAAATAGTAAATAGTTTTAAGTTTTGCAGCTTGCCAAGATAAAGGGATTGAAAAAATTTGCGTTTTTGGCAACAACTAGGTTCCTTTCTTGTACAGAGACTAGAGCCTATTTATGTACAGAGAATAGATTCTATCTATTAATAGTATTTAGAGTCTATCTATGACAAGAATTTAGATTTTATCTATGTACAGAGACTAGTAATTATCTATGTACAGAGACTAAAGCCTATCTTTGTACAGAGACTAAGAGTCTATCTATGTACAGAGAATAGAGACTATCTATGTACAGAATTTAGATTCTATCTATGTACAGAGACTAGAGCCTATCTATGTACAGAGAATAGATTCTATCTATATACACAGACTAGAGTATATCCATGTACAGCAACTAGAGTCTATCTATTTACAAAGACTGAGTCTATCTATGTATTGAGACTAGAGTCTATCTATGTACAGAGACTAGAGTCCATCTATGTTCAGAGACTTGAGCCTATCTATGAAAAAGACTTGAGTTTATCTATTTACAAAAATCAGAGTCTATCTATGTACAGAGACTAGAGCCTATTACAGAGACTAGATTCTATCTATTTACAGAGACCATAGTTTATCAATGTACAGAGACTAGATTTTATCTATGTAAAGAGACTAAAGTGTATCTATGTACAGAGACTAGAGCCTATTGCAGAGACTAGAGCCTATTTCAGAGTCTAGAGTCTATCTATGTACAGAGACTAGATTCTATCTATGTAGAGAGACTAAAGTTATATCAATATTTTGAGACTAGAGCCTATGTACAGAGACTAGAGTTATATCTATGTACAGAGACTAGAGCCTATGTACAGAGACTTGAGTTATATCTATGTACAGAGACTAGAGCCTTTTACAGAGAATAGAGTTATGTCTATGTGCAGAGACTAGAGTTATATCTATGTACAGAGACTAGAGCCTATAACAGAGACTAGAGTTATATCTATGTGCAGAGACTAGAGCCTATTACAGAGACTAGAATTTATCTCTGTACAGTGACTAGAGTTTATCTCTGTACAGAGACTAGAGTTTATCTATGAACAGAGACTAGAGCCTATGTACAGAGACTAGAGTTATATCTATGTTAAATATTTGCAGTAAATCTACCTGTCAAATGAGTGTAGGATTCTACAAACATAAACATATGAAAGGGATCCAATAGACGTAGTTTAGAGTCATTTTTTACATTTCACAGCCGTACTCTTCAATTCTTTAACAGACAAGGGTAAAATATCCTCGTTTTTAGCTTAACAAATGTTAAAATCTGACAAAAAGTCCAAATTTAATGAATTTGAGCCGCGTCTCTAATCTTGTCAAAACCCGGCTTAAATCTTGAAACATTGAATACAATTGTAAGTGGAACCATTCATTTTTAAGCCGAGTCTAAAATTTAAGCCGCGACTGAAATTCTTTAAATTCGGCCTCAGTCGGAGTATACCTTGAACAAGCAAATATATATTTATCTATAAATTCACAAGATTTATACCATGTCTCACAGAGAATAGAAAATACTGTAATGTGTTACATTGTATCTGAAAATTAAATAAAAAATATAATTTTCCAGTATTTTATTCAAAATAGATTTAATATTTTTGAAAAGATATTTTCTTTTTATAACTTATTTTGGTATATTATGTTCTGTCTATATTTTCTATATCTTGTACCAATTTCTATATTTTGTATCCTTTATCCTGCAAATCCTGTATCCTGTATCCTGTATCCTGTATCCTGTATCCTGTATCCTGAATCCTGAATCCTGTATCCTGTATCCTGTATCCTGTATCCTGTATCCTGTATCCCGTATCCCGTATCCCGTATCCTGTATCCTGTATCCTGTATCCTGTATCCTGTATCCTGTATCCTGTATCCTGTATCCTGTATCATGTATCCTGTATATCTAGAAGGATAGGTTGATGAACTATCCAACCCCTGCCTGGCTCCATATTATAATCAAGATCAACCATCTTCTCCTGACCCTAAACTCAGCAGCTAACATACTAATCTACTCTTACAAGGTACAGTACAACGTTTTGTACAACTTTGTACACACAATTTTAGACTTTACAAGTGAACCTCCATTTATACCTGGCATTGTGACAAATATTGCATTTTTCTAGATTTACTCTGATAATTCTTGTATGTTTACCTGCAGTAGAAATGCATTAGTCATTTGGAAAGTTTTAATTCTAATTCTAAACTGCTTCTGTAGCAGAAATAAACTTGTCACTTTTATGGTGAAACCACAGTTAGAAATAATTAACTTAACGTTTAAAACATAGATACCTCATTCATTTTTACTTTGAAGGGTACCATTGTGAATTAGACATACTACTCTTTCTAAATGATGGGTCACTTAAAATTACCTGTACAGTCCCTTTAAACTAAAAAAGTGCAATTTTCGGGGATTATGCTTCGAACATAATTTTTCTAATTTATTTTTATTTTCCCCTTTTCTTATAATATTCCCAGGGCAGTAATCTAAACTGCAGTAGGCTGAACCACCAACTTATAAACTTTTGTCTCAAATAAAAACTTGTAATTTGCACAGTTAGATATATCGTACAGACTAGATTTAGTTTATAGAGGATAATCATTTCTATACGTAAAAACCTCTTTAATGGATCAGAATTATTTCAGTGCATTCACTGATAGAAAATGACTGCTATGCAATAAATTTGTACAATCGTTTATTTCAATACAAAATGACAAATAAACGAGTACTCGACCTTTCCAGGGGGGTTGGCGAGGTCGTCATCTCTAGCTTACTTCAGTACGCAGAGAGTCGAAGTATGAAGGGGAGGAGGGGAAGAGAGAAACGCCCACTCTAACCTCTACCAGTGATTCTAAATAATAGAATAAATATAAATTTGTTTGTTTTTCGTTAGAGGGAAATGGTTTTTGAATGGACCTGTATTTACTGTCACTCAGCGCTATAAAACTTATAATAGTGAATAGAAATATAGACTTCCGAATATGTTTTCATGAGAAGATGAGCGAGTATATCAGATAATTGTGTACCTGAATATTAATTCTGATATAAGAGTTGCAGCGCAGGTTAGTGCAAACTGAAGTATTTGAATCAGTTTTATTGTTGTACAGTATACACTGTACATATACCGGTTTACAATCAGGATTCTATGTATATAATTTATCCTTCTCCAGGGTCCCTGCAGTACAGTAAGGAGCGGGGGGAGAGAGAATATTCACACATTATGTTCAATTTCTTATGTATTGTACAGCTTGTACAACAAGATAGAAATATGAACAAAATATTTGGTAATGGTTTGTATCTAGAAATTCCTAAGTGTTGGATTGTATTTAAAAAACCCCAAGGGGTGGGTTGTATCTATAACAATTCCTCCCAAAAATGGTTTATACTTGTCAAATCTCTTTGAGTGTGTAACACCTGTAAATTGCAAAGGGTAGTTCTTGCCCGGTAAATGTAGAAGAGAAAAACTGAATTAATTATTTTATTTATTTTAGGATTTAAGATTTCGAACTGTTCTTCTCTCCAGCTTTAAACGAGAGCAGACCCTCTCCTCTCTCCGGAGCTCCTTCAAAACCTCATTCGGGAGCAGATACAGGAACAGGAGGAATGAAGTTCTCCAGGTCACGGTAAGACTTTGATAAATTATCTTTAAAACTGTATTATTATCATTCAAACTAGACTGTTAGAGAAAGTAAAATTTATGCAACATCACTGGTAAGACTTTGGGCTCTCGTGTCTCCTCTAGCTGGATTTTACACATTATGAGAAAGGCATATTTATCTAGTTACATATTAGAAATTCTAAACTTGGTTGTTCTTCTCAATACCTCTTTAACGTGAACTAAATTTACTATAGTTTAACGTGAACTAAATTTACTATAGTTTAACGTGAACTAAATTTACTATAGTTTAACGTGAACTAAATTTACTATAGTTTAGCGTAAACTAAAACCTCTTCTTAGCGGTTCAACAACACGGCCGTAAATAAGACTGGGATCGAAATTAATGAATTGAAGAGACATCGCTGAACTATCCACTGCTGGTTTCAATCATAAGTCACTAATTCAACGTTATACAGAATCTGCAAGATTTGAATCGGTGATTAAGGAGATTTTAACCAGCAGTAGATAGCTCAGAGACCTCTCCTATTCATTAAATTCGGTCTCAGGCTACTGTCATTTAAACTAAACAGTTATTTTTATGTTTTTTCTTAAATAATTGTCCTTTTTGTTCTAGGTCTCTGATAGTCCAGATATGAGAATAAGATTACAAGAGAGTTTGTAAATATATAGTTTGACTACAGAGTACAGAGTACAGGATAATCACATGTGGACAAACGAGTATTGAAGTACTTCAGATTAAAAGGAGTACGTGAGGTATACAGAAGTACTCTAGGTATACAAAAGTATTCCAGGCATAATCATTCCAAGCATAAAGATGTACTTCAATCATACAGAAGTACTCCAGGCATAGAGAAGTACTCCAGCTATACAAAAGTACTTCAGGTATACAGAAGTACTTCAGATATACAGAAGTACTTTAAGCATACAGAAGTACTCTAGGCATATCGAAGTACTACTGGCATACAGAAGTATTCCAGGCATACAGAATTACTCCAGGCATACAGAAGCACTCCAGTTGAACAAAAGTACCCCAGGTATACAGAAGTACACCAGTCATATAAAAGTACTCCAGGCATAAAGAAGACGGTGAAAAGAAGTAGTAAATGAGTATTAAGTGCTCCAAGAATATAAAAATATTTCCCGAAAATATTAATCTGGAAAGTACTAGATGTAATAATTAATGATTCTGAGGAATGAATAATGTAAAATAAAACATTTTTTCCATCAAAATACATCTTTTTGTACACCCCCCCCCCCACACACAGTGGGGTATTTTAGGGGGTCAGGGGGGAGTGACTGGTTTTTGCCACAAATGCATTTGTCTTGTGTTTCATTTTTTTTTTTTAACATTTATTTTATAGCAAAAGTACAAGAAAGCACAGCGGTTTCGGGATAATCTAAATATATAAATAGATTCTAACAGCCTTTTAGAAAAGATTTAGGGGCGTCGGCAGCGCGCCAAAAACCTTGATTTAGACAGAGTAGCGTGTTGAAAAATCTTATTTTAAGAGTTTTCAATTAAAAAGCGGGTTTTTGGTCGAAATTCTGAAATAAAACATAACATTTAAATAACTTGACATAAATAAGAGGTTTATGGAATAAACTCATGTTGGCTGACCCCCCTAACACCCAACTGTGCCCTCCCCCCCTTAACCACTTTTTAATTTCAACTCTTTATCCAAAGTTAATATATATTCTGCGTCGTATTGCAAAAAAAATTGTCTTTAACTTTGGCGTTTTATTTTCTCATCCTTCGATCTTGTGAAAAAACAATCCCCTTTTTTTAATGTTTAAACATTGTAAAAATAAACTTATATTATTCTTTAAATCGATCATAGGACAATTAAATTGTTAACAAAGTATTATTTTCTAAAATCAAATTTAGTTTTTAAATATAGTTTAATAAATTCTTCTTTTATATTTTTGTACACAAATATTATTAATATATTGAATTTAACATTTTTTTATCCGCACAAATATCAAAAATATTTGAATGATTATATCCCCAAGGGAGGATGTGTTTAGCCCAAATCTTGGCAAAAACTATCATTTTGAAAACAAATTGATTTTCTTTATTTAAAGTACTCTAATATCAACAAGAAAATCAGAAAAAAGAAAAGGCCCTTTTTGTCATCGTGATAATTTTTAAATATAAAACATTTATATTTTTAACAGAATCTTGTTTTGGATTTATAATTCAGTGGATTTTTAACGAATTGAAAGTTTTTTTAAAGATAGAAATGTCATAAAAAAACGTTGTTAAAATATAAAGTTTTTTAAAACTTTATGTTAATCTATTTAGAGTCTAAATGTCTATATATTTATCTATCAATGTTAGTGTTTATATCATAATCATAAAATATTATTGACAATTTAAAAATTAAAAATGGAATATATCGTAAGGGTATAAATTCTTGTTAATCAATGTATCGTACAAAACAAAACTTTAAATGGACTGTAAGCCTAAGGATTAAAGAATCGAGTCTTAAACACAAAAACCAATTTTCCATCCCTAGATCTCTACAACCATATGACGTACACGTTAAATATTTCAAACTTAGATTTTTTAATTCAGTTGAATTCATATTTTGAAAAATCTAAGGTAAAGATATATGGATTAAATATTAGAGTTTGTGGCAAAGACTACAATCATATCAAGTAAACCTTTATGCGAAGCCAACATTTCCCGATTGACAATGGTACCAACCTTTAAACCTTTATCTGATCAATATTATAACAAATATTCTCGTTCTTCCAGGTTTAAAAGAGCTTAATTCTGATACTTTGCATATATGTTTTCCTGCCCAAATCCCTTCAGAAAACGTAATTTAGAAAAAGAAGCTTTCATAATTGAACCATTGACATCTAATTCATTCTTCATCAGCCACAGATTTAAAGGATCCCGTTGTGAATCCGTCATTGCCATCTATGGATTAAGGTTTCTTGAAATTACGCTTACAGTTCCTTTAAAAAGTCCAATTTATTGAAATCCCACTTGTATCATTGTATGTAGAAAATTTATGAATAATCTTATTATTGTCTTGTCTTGTATAGATATTAAAGTACATTTACAAAGGAACTGCAATCACTCCCCTCAAACTTTAATTTTATAATCTCTATATCTTATCAATCTAATGTCGTAGACCTTAAATTTTTTCTAGTTATGCTATGATGAAATATTTAATGTTTAACATGTCTTTTCACCAAAACAAGATATAAGCATTATAAATTAGAGTTTGATATGAATAATCAGTTTATAAAGAAAACAAGAGAACTTCCTGTTTCAGATTTAGAATTTAAATCTTTTTATTGATGTTTTCGTTGCATTTAAAATGTATGTATGAAAAATGAATTGTTGGGTATAAATGCTATTTTTGTGAAATAAAGATGTCTTTGTATTTTGTGATCCACCCATATATATTTATGACATATCTCAAAATATTTGTGTTGAATTTAGAATTGTTCCATTTTTATTCATATTTTGAAAGTGTGAAAGTTTTAAAGAAAGATTTCCTCAAGATTAAGTTTGAAATTTTCTTTAAAGAACATTAGTTAAGATAAATCGGAGTAGAGATTTTATAAAAGAAATATTTTGTCATTAGGAGCATGAAATGGAGATTTTATAATAGAGATATTTGGTCATTAGGAGCCTGTAATAGAGATTTAGAAAAAAGAGATATTTAGTTATTAGGAGCCTGTAATAAAGATTTCATATTGTAGATATTTTGTCATTAGGAGCCTGCAATAGAGATTTTATAAAAGAGATATTTTGTCATCTGGAGTCTGTGATTGAGATTTTTAATTGAGATATTTTGTCATCGGGAGCCTGTAATAGAGATTACATAATTGAGACAATTTGTCATGAGGAGATAGTTTGTCAGCAGCTTGCATTTGAAAATTTATTATAGAGATATTTTGGCGGAAGCCTGCAGTAAGATTTAATCATTAAGATAATTTGTCAGGAGCCTGCTATAGAGATTTTATCATAAAAATAATTAGTCAGGAGGCTGCAATAGATATTTTATCATTAGGATAATTAGTCAGGAGCCTGCAATAGATATTTTATCATTAAGATAATTAGTCAAGAGCCTGCTATAGAGATTTTATCATAAAAATAATTAGTCAGGAGCCTGCAATAGATAATCTATCATTAAGATAATTAGTCAGGAGCCTGCAATAGATATTTTATCATTAAGATAATTAGTCAGGAGTATGCAATAGAGATTTTATCATTAAGATAATTAGTCAGGAGTATGTAGTATGCAGTAAACAGTATACAGTATACAGTATGCAGTATACAGTACGCAGTATACAGTTGCAGTATAAGTATGCAGTATACAGTATACAGTATACAGTTTACATTATACAGTATACAGTATACAGTTTACAGTATATAGTATACAGTATACAGTATGTAGTATACAGTATACAGTATACAGTATGCAGTATACAATGTACAGTATACAATATACAGTATGCAGTATGCTGTATACAGTATGCACGTACGGGATGGCACGACAAAGTTAGTGAATTAAAACGACGACATTTAAAAATGTAGATTTGTTTGTTAACATCAAATTATCTTGAATAATTTAAGTTTAGAAAAGGATCAGAAACCTTTGGCACTATAATGTAACTTTTCGATTTATTAAACTTTCTAGAATTAGA